CTGCGTGGCCTTGATGGCGGCCACGGCAATGGCAATACAGCGCTCCGCCTCGTCCCTGTTGGACTCCATGGCGGCGGCAGTGGCCGAGACGGGGGGAGGGGCCGGCGCGCGGCAATGGCGTCACCAACCGCGTGCGCAGAAACCCCTGCCGGAAGCTCTCAGAGCTACCGAAGACCCACATCACTAGAGCTACCTTGTGGGCAGGAGTAGCTGCGGCGTTACCGTATTGACCGGTATATCGGCGCATGCACTTAAGCTAGGCCATCCCACAGGCCCGTGGTGTCCAAGTAGTTCTGAAGCAGTGGCCACTGCGATAGCCAACTAGCCACATTCGAGTGGCAAAATAGCCCCAACTGGGCTGCATCCTCCAGGGCGTTGGCTCATTGCTGACCACACAGCCCTGCGCTAGGCTCTAGGCTGAGCACCCCAATGACAGCCTGACCGGGACTCCCCTGTGCCAGCTCTGACCAAGGCTGTGTTTCCCACCACAGGGCTGCGCTCCCCATCTCACCCACCCTGGCTGGAGCTGCACACCTGGCCCTACTGCCTCTAGCTGCGGCTGCACTCCTTGCCATCTTCGCTGTCCAGGGCTGTGCTCTGGGCTCCCTGGGGCTGTGCTTCCCCACTGCCAGCCCAGACACAGCTGCTCTTCTGAATCTGCCCAGCTGGGGCTCTCTGTTTCAGCAAGTCCCCTGGTCCTGCCACCACAGATGTTGCCAGACCACAGAATCCAAGATTTTTTAGGTTAAACCTGTAGTATATTAAGTCCAATAACTGCTCAGCTGTTGACTCCTAACCTGATCTTGGAGGGTCCTCATATTTTTGAGTAAAATATAATCTATCTGCTAAGCATACGTATAGAACTAATACTGAAAATTACTGAAGCAGTAACAACAATAAGAAAAACCAAAATATATGTATTAAAATAGGCTTGACTAAGGGCTTTAAGCATTAAGGCCTTAGAGTGAGGCCTAGCAGAAATTATCAATTTACATAAGCTAGCATGAGTCATGAGTATTATGAGCTCATCTGAAGGCTATGAAATTATATGTTTGACCTGAAATTAATATAATCTAGCAATATAAGGCTATTGTGAAGGCCAAGACTGTACGAGGGTCAAAAACGAACTAGATAAAGAGGTTAGGTCCATCAATGGCTGTTAACCAGGATGGGTAGGAATGGTGTCCCTAGCTTCAGAAGCTGGGAATGGGTGACAGGGGAGGGATCTCCATATGTACATTCCCTCTGGGGTACCATTATTGAAGGACAGAATAATGAGCTAGATGGACCTTCGGTCTGACTCAGTATGGTCATCCTACAGTTCTTATATGATGGACTTTTTGAAGTAAGAACTAACAATACTGGTGTATCAGAGTAATTGGGAATGGAATTGACACAAATGATTAGGTTAATTGTTGGAAATGTAATTATGATTAACCAGAATACCTTAAATCGGTCTTCTGGATTACCAAATATGAGCAGGGACTGAGATTTAATCAGATATGGTCCAAGATCTATGTGGGTGGAATGGAAAAAGGTATATAAAAGGTTGTCAAACTCATCCCTAGCTGGTACATGAGGCAGCCAGTCCAGGACACTGTTTATATCTAATTGTCTCCATATGTTTTCAAGTAGGCACAATGTAAGACTTTTAAATATTCACACTTTAGGAAACTCCTTACTGTTCTTGTATATATATTTTTCTATTATTTCAATTATATTGATCTGTATTTACTAAGGCTCAAAGTTTCTTACGTGTGCTTTACCAATTAATTAACTCTAAGTAGCTGCCTAAATAAAGAATGTGTTATTTGTAACAGGTGCACTTTGCACTCTAGTCTAATCCCAGGCTATACAGCCTACTCTGTTTATTTCTATAGAAGAGCTAGAATGGGAGGCTTAAGATGAGGCCTGTAGGCCCCACACTGCCAGCAATAGCATTGATGACGCAGACAGGCTCCACGCTGGTGACAAGAGGTTTAAGGAGTTTGGTTGTATTCATGTAGATGGACTATGTAGGCCAAAGGTGCTAAAATAGCCCAGTTACAGTTCAACATTTAATGCAGTTAAGTAAGATTTGGCATACGGAGCCCTTAGCCTGCTTAGTACCATGGCAAACACCATAAGAAATCCCATTAAGCTTTTATTGAAGATACAGGAAAGAAGAAAAACAATGAACACATTTGAAATGTAAAGCATTAAGTAAGGTTTTTATTTTAACAACATTGCTTATTCCCCTTCCCTTTAGCTGGAGAGAGTTTTAGAAGGAAAACCTTCCTTGTATGACAGTCTCTTAGATCAGTGTTTCTCAACCAGTGGTACGAGTATCCTTAGGGGTACTTGAGAGAAGTCTGGGGGGGTACATAAACACAACTGAAATTTGGAGAAAACTGAATTTTTGTTTTAAGTTTTACAGCGCTTTATTATTTTTATTCTTTTTATACCCAAAAATTTCATCGCCCTCCCAACTACGATTAAGTTGTTTACACAAATGTGTTGCAATAGTAGAAAAAAATTGTGTGTCTGAAAACTGTAGGTACTGGGGGTACTTACAATTGTTTTTGAAAAGGGGGTACTTTATATTAAAAAAAGGTTGAAAAACACTTAGATTGTATCCAAGACAATACAGACAGTCCCCGGGTTACGTACAAGATAGGGACTATAGGTTTGTTCTTAAGTTGAATTTGTATGTAACTCGGAACTGGCTCCAGATTCAGCCGCTGCTGCTGAAACTGACCAGGGGCTGACTATAGGAAGCCCGAGGCAGAGTTGCTCTGCCCCCGGCTTCCTGGAATCAGCCACTGATCAGTTTCAACAGCGGCTGAATCTGAAGCCTGGGACGCTGCCAGGTATGTCCCCCCAGGACCAACCCGGCAGCACCCCAGCTGCTCTACCCCAGGCGTCCACAACAAAAGCCTGGCCTGCTGGAGGAGGGGGGGCGCACTAGCTGCGCCCCACCCCCACCCCCAGCAGACCAGGGAGGGGGGGGGGGGCGCCAGCCGCCCCCCCCCCCCCCCAGCAGACCAGGGAGACCCGGAGCAAAGCCACAGAGGCGCGGGACCCCGCCGCCTCCGAGGCTTTGCTCCGGGTGTCCCTGGTCTGCTCGGGGTGTCCATGGTCTGCAGTTCTTTGTTTTGTTCCCAGGACTGCTGCTGGGCAAGAGCAAAGGGGGCAATCGTCCAGGGACATGGCAATTCAAAAGGGCCCTGGGCTCCTAGCTGCCACTGCCACTGCTGCAGCAGTAGTGGCCAGAGCTCCAGGCCCTTCAAATTGCCACTAGGGTCGGGGGATAACACTGAAGCCTGGGTGGCACTGAGGGCTGGCTGCCCAGAACCACCCCTTTCATCTGAGGCCCTGCCCTTTCTGGAGGCGTGGAGTTGGCCCCACCCATTTTGAAATGATGGGCAGCATATTTCAGTGTTTTTAAACCTCATTCCACAAGGAATAATGCCTCTTCCAAAATAGCTATTTCAGAATAGCAGTAGCGTGGACGCTTCACTGTTGCTATTTCAAAATAGCTCCTCCCTGAGGCCATTCAAAGTAATTACTCCCCAGTACTTCCTGGGCTCTAAATCGAGGTAGCGTGTCTACATTAGGGGAGTATTTCTTCTGGAATAGCTTATTCCAAAATAATTGTGCAGTATAGACATAGCCTTAGAGAATCATAGAATACTAGGACTGGAAGGGACCTCGAGAGGTCATCGAGTCCTGTCCCCTGCCCTCATGGCAGGACCAAGTACTGTCTAGACCACCCTGATAGACATTTATCTAACCTACTCTTAAATATCTCTAGAGACGGAGATTCCACAACCTCCCTGGGCAATTTATTCCAGTGTTTGACTACCCTGACAGTTAGGAACTTTTTCCTAATGTCCAACCTAAACCTCCCTTGCTGCAGTTTAAGCCCATTGCTTCTTGTTCTATCCTCAGAGGCCAAGATGAAAAAGTTTTCTCCCTCCTCATGACACCCTTTTAGATACCTGAAAACTGCTATCATGTCCCCCCTCAATCTTCTCTTTTCTAAACTAAACAAACCCAGTTATTTCAGCCTTCCTTCATAGGTCATGTTCTCTAGACCTTTAATCATTCTTGTTGCTCTTCTCTGAACCCTCTCCAATTTCTTCACATCTTTCTTGAAATGCGGTGCCTAGAACTGGACACAATACTCCAACTGAGGCCTACCCAGCGCAGAGTAGAGCGGAA